AGATTCAAAGTCATCATCATAGAGATCTCTTGACCTTGGAGCTTGGGTCGTAAACAAGCAATTCACATCACTACACGCTCGACTATCCAATCTTCAACTGTATCTTCATTACCATCATCGAAGATCACATCCGCATTTTTCTCTCTGATTTTTCTCTGCTTGTCAAGCAGCTTTGCATTAAATTGGATATGCACTAGACTGTTTAACCGATTAACATCTAGTCTATTTCTTCTCTTCGTGTGAATCTGCAATATAAGATTAGTAAGTTTCTGCAATATCAAAAGAAGATAACATAAGCTAGATCACTAATAGACTAACCCCCTTCTTGAAAATTATTCATGATTATATTCTCTTCTTTTTCATATCGCTAATATGTTTCTGAAAATTACTCATGATTATATTCCCTTCTTTGTGATGCGATATGTTTTTTTCAAGTTTTCGTATATGATATATAGAGATAAAGAAACATGAGAAGACATGAAAAAAAAAATTTCACCACCGATGAAACTGGTGAAATTCATTGTCAAGACTCTAAAATCTCGATTAAACTCGATTTGGTCGCAAAGAGATAAGGGATTGAAGGATATTCTTATGTATTGATTAAGTGTTATGACATACTAACTACAATTATTTTAAATGTTCGAACTTCGAACTATGAAATATTATTTGTAAAACAGTTTTTGGTCTGAATAAATTCAGCATTCAATTAAATTTGAAAAAAAAGAATCTAAACAAAAAAAAATCAAAAGAAAGAAGAAAGTTGCTTTGCAAAAGTAATTGTAGAACAATTATATTGAAATGCTAGAATAGTGAAATGTTGAAAACAATCAGAGCTATTTGTGAAGATGAGTAAACGTTTCGAGGAAAGAAAAAAGTTTAAGTTGATTACATTTTTTCGAGATCATGTGTCTCATAAAGACAAATGGGTAGGGGTGGGCAAACGGGAATATGGAACGAGATTTCATGGGAACGGGACGAAAATAAAAATTTTGAGACTAGAAAAATATGTCTTATTTGTGTCCCATTTAAAATTCGGGACGGGATCGGGATAGAACGGGATGGGACGAGAACAGTACGGGAATTCCCATAAGATAACCGGTTTCAAAACACTAAATTAAATAAAACGATATTACAAATTGCAAACAAAGATTTCAAAACATGCCTACTCTGAGATAACCTTCACTTGGTTGATTCCAATATTAGTACTAACTATTCTTTGTTTTCTTTTAAAGGATGTTCAAATTGAATGAAATGCAAGTGTGGAAAAGAAAAGTAGAATCCAGTCGTCGAATTACTTCATAATCGAATATATGCAAATATTTTCAAAATAGATGATTTCACATGTATTTCTTGTCGTTACAAATAAACACCAAGCATCAAGATCGTATGCAAGAGATTTCGTCATTTAAAAATGTGGTGTTGTTTAGGAGCTCTTCAGATCTTCCAGCGAACCCAAATAGACCCATTTGTAGGGATAAGCATAAT